GAGCCTGTCTCTCACACCTCCCCAGCATCTCACCTCCGGGAGCACACCCTTACAGCTGCCGCCCCTCTGCATCTCACCTCCAGGAGCACACCCCTTATGGCTGCCTCCCCTCCTCATAGCACCCCTCCTCACTTTCCCTCCTGACTGCACAGGTTTTTTTTAAAAGCATGTGATAATGTGGCTTTTTCGTGATTTTTTTTCTTTTGATGCAGTGGCAAAGGATGGTAACAAGGTCTATAAATGTAATAAAGAAGATCTCTGTAAATAAAGTTTGTAAGCTAGAGGTTCTGTGGAGCCATTTATTCCTGATGAGCAAATTAAGCAAGCAGAACTATGAGAACCTGTTGGGTCCACTAAGAGCACTTGAGCAAATTCTTCAACTTCTGTGACCTCCATCTCAGCATACAGTAGAATGCCCACAAAGATTCTGAGTCGTGGGCTTCCAGATTGTGCTTTGGTTGAACATTTGTGCATCACGGACTGAGGTTTGGCAGGGCCACAACAGGATGATGGCAGGTCCTTTCCTTTCAAAAGATGTTCTCACTTTCACCTTTAATTACTTTTATCTTACAATGTGGTACATTCAGTGGAGACCATAAAATGATAGTTAACTCTCATCTACACCTTAAGGGCAGTTGGTTGACATTTGAAGCATCCACTCAGAAACCCATACTCCTAGAGAGGTTAATTAGCATGTTAAATTCCCTAGCCTGAGAGGATGCTACAGAAATGGTTAAAGGCTAACCATTCTGATAGATATAGATATATCACTATCTACCCTTGCCCTAGAGCTTTAAAAATTAGCTTAAACCTTATTCAAGGTGATATTTAATTGCATAATATTTGAGCAGTATGAGAGAATAGAAAAGATTCATATCACGTATCCTGTATGAGTTAGGCCTAGACCAGCCATGGATTTGACCACACTAGGTAACTACAACAGGAAGTCTCTGGATTTGAAGTTTTGCAGGTCTGCTGGAAGGTCTAGGAAAGTGAAGGTTGGAGAAGCTGACATGAGAAATTCCAGAAACCAGAGGTCCAGGGATCAAAAGAACCTGATGTCCAACCACGTTCTTCGGGTGATATGGAGGGGATGCCTGGAAGGCCCTCCCCAGATCTCAAGTCTGCTGTCTGTGAAAGGTGTGCATGTGATTGTAGCTGACAGTGGCAAATCCCAGGTTATCCCTGTCTCACCTTCTGAGTTCCACACAGAAGCCACTGACACACCGTGATACAAAGCTCTGGCTAGCAGGGTAGTTTAAAAACTAGATTTTAGAGTTAGAGTTCCTACCCTTACCTGAGAAAGAAGACTGAAGAGCAGGGATGACTTGAATTATAGCAAAGCAATACCAGGCCCTGTGTATGAGTCTGGTAAGCCCTGCACCCTTTTGAATTTTGTCTGTGGTAATATTGTGTTCCCCAAAATACTGTGCACTTATCTGAAAATCTTATCTGAAGTCAGGGAACAGAACAACCACAAGATATAGAGGCCAGAAAATGGTGGCACATGCCTTTAATCCTAGCATTCCAGAGGCAGAGATCCGTCTGGATATCTGTGAGTTCAAAGCCACACTGGAAACAGCCAGGCATGATAACAAGAGCCTTTAATCTCAGTGCCAACCATAGAGACCTGGAAGTCTGTATAGACAGGCAGTGATGAGGAAGTCATGTGGCTGGGCTTAGAGCTAATGAGAAGGCAGGACGCAGAAAGGTATATAAGGTGTGAGGACCAGGAACTAGAGCCTGGGTTAAGCTTTTAGGCTTCTAGCAGCAGTTCAGCTGAGATTCATTCTGGATGAGGACTCAGAAACTTCCAGTCTGAGGAAACAGGACCAGCTGAGGAACTGGCAAGGTGAGGTGGCTGTGGCTGGTTCTGTCCTCTGACCTTCCAGCATTCACCCCAATACCTGGCTCTGAGTTTGTTTTTATTAATAAGATCTTTTAAGATTCGTGCTACATTTGTCCTTAGGTCTGGAGCAGAGCTCTCCAGTGGAGTTTTCTAAAGCGATGAAAAAGGTCAATATTTGCACTGTGCAGTGTGGCAACTACTTACCACCCCACCCTTCTGTAAGGGGACTGGCAAAGGTAACGCTATTCTAAAGAGGCACTTGTGGTTCTCAAATTATCAGACCATGGAAACAACAGACCCCAGAGAAATGGGAATTTCCCCCAGGAATCCGATGCAGGCAGGCAGAAATGGCCCCACCAGAGGAGGAACTTGTCTTCCGGAAAGAGATGCCACACGGTTCTAACAACTTATCCTACCACCTCAGAGGATAAGACCGAAGCCTGGAGAGTGAGGAGACAATAGCAGGCAGGACCCACACCTTGACCAGGACCCCTTAGATGTACACATCCACAGCCCACTATTTAGAATTCAGTCTTTCCTCAGGACTCCTAAGATGGGAGCGAGGCCCTGGGTCTCTCTCCCTCTCTCAGTGTGACTACATTGAATAAATCTCACAATTCTTCTTTCCACTAATAATTTGGGATCTTTTAATTGGTTTGTTGTGAACAGGTGGCTAGCCCTGGCTTGAGACACAGGTTATAGTGCTCAGATTCGATAACATTTCCACCTGAATAGGAGCTAAGTGTCAGCTGATAGGACCTGAAGTTTTCTGAGTCTTCCATCTGACACTGGCTGTGTTTGTTACACATTGAAGTAATAATGTGACTACTTGGTGGAGTTGCCAGCATCCTTTACTGTGAAGCTGACCTGATTTCCTGACTGTTCTTGGTTCTGCTAACACAGACATTCACTGATCATCAGTGTTCACCTACAGACCCTAAAATGTGCGGCCACCAGTTAGTCCAAAGTGCTATGCACATGTCTTCTAGAAATGTTTCTCAACATCTTCAGCATCTACAGTATCCTTCCTGTGAGCAGACATTAGCAGATGACAAAACACAGTCTGTGTAAATATTAATGTAAGAATTCACATGAGCTAGTGATCTCCACAGAACAACTAATTTTTAAATGTGAACACGTCTTTGTGGTTGCTTTCTAAAATTCATGCACAGGGCTGGAATGTAGCTTAGTGATAAAATGTTTGCCCAGAGTTGACACACACACAATGTGAGTTTCCTGTGTATAAAATTATTGCTAATTTACATGGCTGGGTCTATTTTTAAGGGTTTCACAAAGACAGTCCTGGATTTTGCAAAGGAACTGATTCCCAAGTGTTTTGTTCTTTAGGGAACTGCTGATCTCTATACACACACAGGAAGATGCATATGTAACTAAGCATGGGTCAGCTCCTTCTGTTCAGGGCCCAAATCCAGCTAGCTACAGCAGAACCAAGAAGGCACTTTTGGAACTTCATGATTAGTAAATTAGAATATTTCTTGCCAAATTAGACAAGGAAAGCTATACATGGCTTACATGGTACCTTTTTTTTTTTTTAAATTGGCACTTGAACAAATTCTATCCCCCAAATTTTCGTATTTGTTATCCTTTAAAAATTACTAACATAATCTCAAAAATGGGTGTTACCTATTCAGAACTAAGTCTCGTATAATGCTCTTACATTGATTGTTAAATATGGATGGGATTCAATTTGCACAAACTTTGACATCCTCAGTTAATTATCTCTTTACCTAATGGTGGGGAAAACTAGCTCAGAAAAATCTTCGCCAATGAGAAAAGCCTAAGGAAGCTGACCAGTGGTCACGTGCCTGGTCAGCAAAACCTTGCCTTACTGCTTTGCGGGTGGTGTCCCAGCCAGCACATGGCTCCCATTACTGCACTGTAGACAGGTCATCCTGCAGTCAGTCAGTGATTTGCACTGAGGATCCTGAACTCCCAGATCAGACCCTCTGATCACTTTTTTCTGTAGACCAAGGGACAGGTTGAGGGGAGAGGTACCAGGGCAGGAAACGAGTGTCACTTTGGGGGACTCTCTTGGTGGTTGAGCACTGTGTTTGGAGAGGTCATGGCCAGTTCTGCCCGGGATGGCTGTTAGAGAAACATGATTTTACCCAGTGCTACTCACCGGGTGTAGAGCAGGATAAAGTCTGGGTGGAGAGACCACAGAAAGGACTCCGTGTGTCAGTGCCGAAGGCCTCCTGTGGCCGCATTTCTCATCCATGTTTTGTACTGAAGGGTGTTCCCATGTGGGGCTGCTTACCTGGTGACCGATAACTGATGTTCTCACCCATCAGATGGAGGCAACAGTGGGTGCTACTGCCATATTTGTGTTATGAGTGATAATAATGCTCACTGATTGGTGTGGCCATATCCTACTTTCAGATTAGCTTACAGAATCTAGCGGTATGCTTTTGAATCTTTTTCAGGATCTCGTAAAAAAACAAAACAAAAACCATATGCAAAATTAAAAACTCGTGGAAAGCAGCACCACCTGGTACCACAATAACTGTTTTATATGAAAATAAAACCACTTTCTTCTATCTAATTCTCAAACATTTTGGTTTTACATGTATGTAAAGAGGATTTAGACTTCCATATATCTGCCTTCTAGAATATTCCTGAGCTGTGTGGATGCTGAGTGAGGTCTCAGCAGGGCAGGAGCAGACAGTACAGTTCACAGGCTCAAAGGATGAGCTGCCATGGTTCTTAATGTTTCTTTAACTCCTGGTAAAATGTCACAACATTGCAACAGTCTGTGTTGATTCTTATATTGGAAACAGAAACTCCAGTGAATTATGAAGTATAACTTAATAACATTGCTTGCTCTGGAATTAGTTCTCCATGGGATTAATGGGATTGGTTGGCTTTTTGCAAGTGTGATTAAGAGCGTCTGGATTTTACTTCCTTAGCAGGATTCCCAAGGTTTTGAGTACATTTAGAAGGCAAAGTTGGAACCAAACTGAATTGTTACTGTTTTTACTATTATTTTAAGCAGACTTGATATTGTTCTTGGAATCTAACTGACTTGAGATGGCTTAAAGGAATTTAACGTGGTGTTTCAAAGAGCAGGCACCATGGCCTTGCCCTGTTCTAAACTTTGACTGTAAAGCCTTCTTGTGTTACCTCTTCACAGGCTTGTTGATTGGCGCTGGCTGTGCTCTCTACCCCTTGGGCTGGGACAGCGAGGAAGTCCGGCAGACTTGTGGCTACGTCTCTGGCCAGTTTGACTTGGGTAAGTTCTTGTCATCGTTTCTAGGAAAAGGGGCTTCTCTACTGCTTCCTGGAAGGAAGACAGTGTGGGACTGCATTCGGTTAGCCATGTGTGAGGGTGTGTGTGTGTGTATGTGTGTGTGTGTGTGTGTGTGTGTGTGTGTGTGTGTGTGTGTGTGTGTACACACATAGGTACATTTATCCATTTGTCTAGTGGGGAGTCATTGATACCCTGCTGTTTGCCAGCACTATGATTTGTATTGCAGATTCAAAGAAAAAATGACACTGCACTCAAGAGCCTTTATAGTCTCTGATTAATTTGTTCAAAATCATACATTTATTACTCATTATACATGCTGAAAACATCTCCGGGGACTTCACAGGCAAACAAAACAATCAAGGAAATTGCCAGGAGGGCAGAGCAGGTTCTCTCCGGGTGTGGAGCACATTGTGAGGGGGAGAACAGAGCGGCAGCAGGGCGCTGAGCACTGTCATGTGTGGGATTACCAGCAGTAGGGTGCTGAGCACTGTCATGTGTGGTATTACCAGCAGTAGGGTGCTGAGCACTGTCATGTGTGGGATTACCAGCAGTAGGGAAGCTCCAGGCAGGCAAGAGCAGGGGGAACGGGAGGGACGAGAAAGTTCATCAGAGAATCCAGCTGCAGAAGCAGCAAGCGAGAGGCCACTCCTCAGATGTGATGAAGTGCTTGAGATCCCGATTCTGGATGTGCACAAAGGGCCCTTTATGGCTCTGCTTGTCTGTGTGCTAAATGAAAAGGTTCAGCTGATTTCTTCCTGTAGCTAAGGGCATCATTCTACCCGCTCTGCAGCCGCCGTGATTTCTAACGGTGTGCATACTACGTGGTATTCAAGATTTTGATTTGTGGTACCTGGGGACTGTCTTACTTGGTCAGTAAACTTACACTGATTTAATCATCCCCTTATTTCTCCTCAGTTGAGAAAATAACTAAGTTTACTACACTTCCTATTGCTTTAAGGTGTGTTCTAATGAAGTGTTTGATAAATATGTGTTGTCTCTGATGAATTCTTTTTCTTGGAGTATTTTTTCTGGAATAGGTGTTAATAGACCATTAAGATACTACTGTATGGGACGGGACATATTTCTTCTCATCCCCACTGGGTTCATGACTCAGACCCCTAACGAAAAGGTAGATTAATGAGGAAAAAGCATGCAAATGTATCTAAAATGAGTTTTACTAGACATAAGGGTCTTCATAAAAAGATAAAGACATTGTATAGATGCTAAAGCCATGGCTTCCTGTCCAGGTTTAATGAGGAATTAGGCAGTCATGGAGAGCTGTGATTGGACAGGGCGGGGTGGGGTGTGAGCCGGTAGTAATAGCAATGACATCTGTGGCCTCCCTCACTGTGTCCCTGGGTTGGAGAGGCATAGATACCTTTCAGGTGCAGACACTTGTCGATCTTATGCCCTACTTGGAGGGAGTACACAGTCTTCCTAGGTTTCGTGACCCTGCCCCTGCCTCAGGGCCAAAAAAGGCTCAGAGTATCTTCTCCTGCTTCTGTGGTTCTCCCCAAGTCCAAGATGCCATATTTGGAACAGCTGTGCAGCTGTGCCTGCCCAAGGCAGCCAATCTGCTTCCTCTGCCGTGTGTACTGGGGGCCTTAGCCTCTGCTAGGAGGGTCGTCCTCGGCAAGTGTAATTTACTGTCTTAAACATCTGCTGCTCACAGAAGACAGTCAATTCCAAGAAGAAAAGTTCTGAGAGACCCGGCCTCAAGGTTTTTATTATATTCTAAATCAGTTTTTTTTAATATTTATGCAATTGTAATGCTGATGGCTAGATTTTGTTTTTTGTTTTTCCTGTTCATATCCTGAGCTACATTGCAAAACACTGTTTAATGAAAATCAAAGGATAAGGAGAAAAGCAAACAAAATTGAGAACCTTAAAACGAAGGGTTTCTGTTACTGGGTGACAATCACCTTTTCTCTTCAGGAGGACACTGGGTCTCTCTAAAGAACACAGTGTGCTAATTTGCATGAATAAAGCAGGCCGCTCCCTGTTTCTCTTCTCCCCTCTTCCAGTACAAGCTTGCCTGAGTTTGGATTACTTTTGTAGTTACCATTATGCAGAAAAAAGAGAAAAATGCTGGCACCAACTGGACTCCTCACAGCTTCTTCACTTTTTGCTTTAAGTGCAGACTGTGTCCAGAGGAGACATTTTAATATGTCCTTTGGCTTTTCTGTTCCCTGGCGTTTGAAGCATTCTTAGCTGTTCACCACAGGCTCCAACTTGACTGGAACCCTGTCCTCAGCTGACCCGTGGCTGTGATGCAATGTTGAGTTAATTAGCAAAGTATGTAACATGTACGGGACTCAGATCTTATAGTTGAGGTTTCTTTGCTGGGCCCCAGTGTTCTTTGTCTTTTCAACACTGTTCATCATAAAATAGAATGTTGAATTAAAACAGGTCTCTTTATTGTTTCTTTTTTATTTGCTATAGTCTTTAAGATTTTTTTTTTTACTTTGTGTATATAAATGTTTTACCTTCATGCATGTCTGTGAACCATGTGTCTGCAGTGCCCTCAAAGGCCTGAAGAGGACATCAGATCCCCTGGAACTGGAGTTAGAGATGGCTGTGAGCGGTCACGTGGGTGCTGGGAACCGAACTCAGGTCCTCTGGAAGAGCAGCCAGTGCTCTTAACCTCTGAGCCACCTCTCCAGCCATGTCATTTATTTTTATGTTATTAAAACCACATTAGCAATTCAAAGGACTAGTGTAATTTAATTTCTGCCCCCTCATTTTTTATGTTTCTCTTAGATCTGATGATGAGAGGGAAAGAAATTGACACCATCTAAAGATTAAAGTGGGATCTAGATTCCCCGCGTAAATAATTTTTGCTTATTGTACTGTTTTTCCAGGTTCTATTTTTGGGGGACTCTGTCATTTTTTCTTTCACTTACTTCCCTTAGGAAATTGTCACTTTCCCTCGGAACAAGGGTGCAAATGGCACTTGGTGCTTTAGTGAAGTCACAGACTGTGGCGCTAACTTGACAAGATTCCTAGGACAGTGTAGATGAGCCCAGAATGAGTTCATGGGTGACCCTGTCTTTGGGGAACACTCCGGGTCCCACATTCAGTGTTCATGCTGAGTGCCACACTCACCCCCTGCTTCTGTCACTAATGAGGACCTGAGCTTATGTCTATATCCTCTAGAAGGAGACAATGTGTGGGCACAGCTCCCTCCCAAAAGATAGTGGGGCTTGGGACTCACCAGGCCCTTTACAGGGGCCAGGGAGACTACTATATCAGCAAGAAATAAAGCAAGTCACTATTTACTGCCCTTCAGGAACTTAAAACTAGCAAGAGAGACAAATATTAAAAAACATAATATGCCCCTGCAATGGTCAGTTCTAACTGTCAACTTGACACACTCTAGAATCCCCTAGAAAGAGAGTCTCAGTGAGTGTCTAGATTAGGTTGGCCTGTGGGCAAATTATCTTGATTAAATTAATTGAGGTGGGAAGACCTGCCTACACTGTGTGGCACTATTCCTAGTCAGGGTATTCTTAACAGTATGAGATTAGAGAAAGAAAGCTGGGTATTGGCATGAAAGAATTCGTTGTCCTTTTTCCCAATTATAGATGCAAAGTGACCAACCCCCTCAGGCTCCTGCCACTGACTTCTTTGCTATGATGGACTGTAACCCAGAACTGTGAGCTAAAATCAAGCCTTTATCACACCAACAGGAAATGAAATTAAGACATCTGACGCATGTTAGACAGGAAAAGTGTGGCTGTTACGTGGACATAGTGGTCGCCTGGCTGCTACTGTTCTACTCCAGCTGGTGAGATTAGGGCAGAGATTAGCAAGCATTTCTGTCAAGATCCAGATAGTAATGTTTTCAACATGGCAAATTATATGTCTCTGTCACAATTATTCAACTGGAACTTGGAAGATTACAGACAGGTGGCAATATTCCAGTTAGAATTTATTCACAAAAGTGGACAATTGGGCTATCATTAGATGATGTCTGACCCCAGCCAAATAAGACCCATAGTGTGCTAGAAAACTGTGCCTTTCAGGTGTGCTCGTTCACTGATCTTGGCAGCCTCCCCACAGTGGTCATGCTCTGGGGACAGCGGAAGACTTCTAACTGCATTTAGTTACCCTACCATGCTGTGTAAATGCCGTGCCTTGTGGAGGAACGTCAACGTCAGGTGTCAGGCACTACAGCTCCATCTTGCCCCGCACCAGCCCTCACACTGGCATGCGATAAGGCTTCAACCCATTCAGGAGCCAGTGGCAGTGGAAACGTTCCTAGAGATTACTGAGGAAAGGCTCATAGGCCTATCGGAGAGGAACCAAAAATATGCTGTCCTTCCCTTGACAGCCCCCCTCTCACGATCCAGAACAGAGTCAGCAGCAGAAAGGAGCAGAGGTGGACAACGGAGCCAGCCTAGGATCCGTCACCTCTGAAGGTGCTTTCCCTTGGACCTCCAGATGTCACTCACACACAGAAGTTCATCTCCTTGCTGGACACTGTGCGCTTCCCTTTGCTCACTAGTGGCTCAAAGCAGCCTTATGTTATGACCTACTGAAGTAGTGTGAATATAATTAGACTCCATAAGCTCATAGGGAATGACACTCTTGGGAAGTTTCGCTTTGTTGAAGTAGGTATGGCCTTGTTGAAGGAAGTGTGTCAATGTGTGTGTGTGGGGGGGGGGGGATTGAGGTCTCTTTTGCTTAAGCTTCGCTCAGTGTTACATACCATTTCCTGTGGCCTGCAAGGTGTAGGACCCTCAGCTACTTCTCCCGTACCATGTCTGCCTTCATACCGCCATGTCCTACCATGCTGATAATGGACTGAACCTCTGAAACTGTAAACCAGCCACCCCAATGAAATGTTTTCCTTTCTAAGAGTTGCTGTGGTCATAGTGTCTCTCCACAGCAATAGAAACCCTAAGATACCAACTAATTAACAAGACCACATGACCTTCCCTGGGGATGTTGTGGGTGGGCTGTAGGGAGATGAAGGGAAT